CACACACACAGGCACACAGGCAGTCAAAGTGACAGACAGACGGAAAGACGGACAGACCCGCACCTGGCTTTGCACCCGGTTGGATTCTTCAGGTTGTATTTATTTTGCACCAGCAGGGGCAGGTAATATTGTTGGTAAGCCTGGGGGGTCACGGCGTCGTCGAAGGTCAGCATTAGGAACTGTGGCGTGTCGGCGAGCGGGGTGCCGATGGGCGTGTCGCCGTAGCAGAAACATGACGGCAGCCGACACGAGCTTGGGTTGCATGGGCCGCTGGGGTGGGTGGGTCGGCGTGTGGTGGGTTGTTTCGTGGTGGGTCTTTGGGTTGTGGGTCGTTGGGTGGTGGGTCGTTGGGTTGTGGGTTGCTGGGTGGTAGGCACTGGTCGGAGAGGTAGTGGGGGTGGTGAGGGAGGGCGAGAGGTAAAATATCAAGCATTATTATAATATTTATTTGAAAATCAGAGTGTCTAACTTTATTAGAGATACGTTACCGGCGCCTGAGTAATAAGTGCTGATGATGAGAGGTGTTACAAGAGAGTATCTTTAAAAGAACAGAAGAAGGAGAGATAAGGACAGTATATTATGTTTGATAGAAAAGAAGGAGGAAACTACACCTGAACATCCGCTAACCACCCGATCACAATCAAGTAAACAAACAAAACAATAAAAAAAAAAAAAAAAGACTCACCCTTGGTTGTGGCGGGTCCTGGCTGGGGTGTCGTCTGCACAGGTGGCCTGGCACTAGTCACTACTGGCTTGACGTCACTGGAGAGGTCACACCTGGCAGGTCCGGGAGTGCACGAGTTGACACTGGTGTCCCATCTGGATGGTCAGAATAAGATTTTTAGATCCTACTTGAAGAAGTCATCGCGGACCATCCATTGTTTAAAATCAACTAGGTCTAGACTAATGCAGTTTCTGGGACACTTGAAGAAACATAAAGGCCTTAAACATCTAGCCATTATGTTTGCACACTAAATTTTCTAGTAGGCTTGCGTTTTAAACTGGCGTCTGTGGTGTAGCGGTTAGGCTCTTCGCAACGAGACACGAGTTCGAGTCCCGGGTGGGTCGAATTTTTATTAAACATCTTGGTCTGTCTGCTGAGATGTTGTACCCCTTTCCGCAAGAGGTTGGCCATGGAAGGTAGCATGAGAAGCCAGCCTCCTAAATGTTCTAGATTGTGTCGATGGGGGTGTAAAAACACTTCCATTCACATTTTGGCATTTTTGTCACCGTGATTGGGCTTCGTCCAGCTTGCAAAGATCTCTGTCAGTTTTACTGACAACACACAGTATACATAGTGTGCATTCGTTCATCCCTGACAAGCCGCTCCAACTTCAAACCCCCGAAGATATACTCTGATATACGCCAAATGGAAGGACAATGGCTATAAATATTATAAACCTTCACCTTCACAATTTTGGTCAAAATACAATATGATCTCCTTCTGCAAGGCCTGTTAAGGCCAATATTCTTTAAATGATAAGAATAATCACTGCATTAAAGTTTGAACGACTTGCAGTTTTCTTGCAGAAAGAGCGAGAGACTCCTTAAATGAGACCAATCCTTTACTGAGAATAGAATTCACGTCTTCAATGTGCAACGGAGAAACACCTCACCATTACACCCCACACCCTGGTTCACATAACAATTACCTGATACTTTTATGTCTTGATATGAAATTAAAGAAAATGGGAAACTGAAAGAAACATAACTTACGTGTATCCATTTCTACATGGCACGGGACCTCTGACTTCGCCATTGTCACACCAGATGAAAAGTCTTCCCTTAAAGAAAGCACCGTCATCCGGCCGCACGGGTGCGCATGCGTACGTGCCATGGGCTAGGTTGGTGTATCCCTCGCTTGTGAATGTGTTCTGGCAGCCATTAACTCTAGGACCTGTTGTGGGGGAGAAGTGGTTTCAGCAAGGAGATTAAAAGTTCTAAGCTCCTTGGGTTTCAGTAATAGTTTTATTACCCGCATACTGTTCTCTCTCTCTCTCTCTCTCTCTCTCTCTCTCTCTCTCTCTCT